ATATAATTTTTGGTCTATGAAAAATAAAGCCAAGTTTAGGAGTACAATTACTTGTGGAGAAGGATTAGCGCCCCCACACACCCATTTAAAAATAGTACCAACTAATTATGTGTTATTTTTTTATTTGATAAAAATGACCTTAATTTTATTATTAAAATAATTCTTTTAATTTTTTATTTTTTTCAAAAAATATTTCAAAAACCCTTTATTTAGGAATACAATGAAAATTTTTAGTTTTAAAAAATTTTTCTAAATTCTTCAACATATAGGCGGAATATCAAAACATAATTATCCACTTAGAATTCTCATAATAACCCTTAAAAGCCAACATAATATTCCTTTGTAAAAATAGTTATTGGAAATCCTCTAATATCTAGGCAAGATCTTAAAAATAATTTTTTGCTTAGAATATTAGCTTCTATTTCTAAAAATGTAGTTTTTCAAAATCACCATTTATTATTTTATATACTTTTTTTAAAATGATAAAATGCAAGCAATGTAACATGAGACAAATGAAAGATGCAAACATAAATTAAAAGATATAAGTGACCAGTTTAATTAATCTTATAAATATGTAATTTTATCTCTTTTTACAAAAATATTTAATGATAAAAGAAATTTTATTTATTATTTTTGGTGTTGGAAAAATCTTTTCAATTTCTTAATATTTAGGCAGAACTTGAGAAAATTAATCATTCACTTAAGAAATTCTCATAATTTATTTTTAGTACAATGGTAATGGTCTTCACTAGTAAAAAATATGATTCAAATTTCCTCCAATATCTAGGTAAGGTATTCAAAATCATATTTTCACATATAAATATTATTCTATTTTTATTTCTAAAAACCTTTAAAAAAAAAAAAGAAAAACACAAAATCATTTTTAAATCACAAAATTTTGATATTTCATTTTTTATTCAAATTTCATTTCATTTCATTAATCATTCACAAACAAATTAATCTTAAAAAAAATACACATATACATTCCATTTATTATTACAATTATTAGCAACATCAACTAGCATAAAAAAATATAATATGGGCATGATAAAATAAATAAACAAAAGAGAAAGCAAGTATATCCAAATAAAGTTCTTGGACTAGAACCCAAAATGGGATCCAAGAAAACTCCTAAAATAGTTGGGATACAAGTTGGGTTTGAAGTAGATTCGGAATGGGCTTAAGTTGTTATGGTGGGTTGGTCAGGTAGGGGTCCAACAGCAGATGGAGTTGGGTCTGGTGGAACTGGGCACGAATCGGGTCACAAATCTAGGTCAGGCTAGTAGATTTCACCAAGCTTTTTCCCAACTATAAAAGCTTATGTTTTTTTCTAATTCATTTCTTCCCTCGTTCTTTAAAAATTTCATCTTTTTCAAAAGTCTCCCCTTTTCTCTTCACCAACTTTAACCGGCCTTCAAACAAACCAGTTTTTGGTGACTGACAATCGACTGGATCGCTGCTTACCACTAACCATCACTGCTGGCTAGCGTATTTTGAGACCTAAATTTCCTCGGATACTCTATTTTTCATCCTTTTTCACAATCTCTAAATGATTTGTACGAAACTCAATGTTTTATCCAAGATGTGAGATCAATTGGCTAGCTCAACCTTAAAAATCACCATCTTCGACCACTATAAATGGCTCCAAATCTAGTATGTCGTTCTCCTCCTTATCCCCTTCCTTTCCATGGTTTCAGCTTTCCTAAATCCAATGCCATTACTATAAACCTTCATCGCCAGCACCCTCGTAAACCCGTCAGCCACCAATCTTTCCTATTTCCTTCTCCTTTTGATAGGCTCCAAAACCCAAGTCCTAAACCGAAAATTAACATACCTTGATCCAAATCTCTTTAAAATTTCTCCTCTCTTTTCTTAAAAATATCTAAAAAAAGTCCTAACTAAAGAACCTTTTTTTTTTTTTTTACTATTTTTTTGTATTATGCTCTCCTGACTATTGTTTCCTCACCATGAGGAATATGGCTGTTATTTTTGTGTTTTGTTTTAATTTTTGAAAAGAAAGGCTAGATTATTTTTGGTTTGGGGTTGTTTGAGTAGTTATTTCAAGTCAGTGGGTTAGGAAATGAGTTTCGAGTCTAGGGGTTGAAGCAATCTCAGATGTATTTATGTGTTGGAGATGATAACAAAAGTTGGTGGTGGATGGTGGTTGGTCAAGTTGTGATGGTAGGCTTTAGGCCGATGTTGAAGGAACAGTTTACAGTGACAAGGTTAGGTGCTAGTTGGGAGGAGCTAACTGTTAATGATGGTGGTTTCTGGTGGGTGATTTTTGTGAATTGTTATCTGTTGGTGGTGTTGAGAAACGACAATGGTGGACTAGGGAGGCTAAAAGAGGTTGGTTGAGCTGTGACGGTGGTTCGGCTATGATGGGCCGAGAGAAAATCCCTTCATTTTTGTCTTTGTTCCCCTTTATGTTCCTCAAAATCTTCGTTCTTGTAGAATCACAAGTTAAATAAGACATGGGAATTGAATTTAGTTGCAGAAGTAATAGCAGTAGGTTGATGCATTTGGAATATAGGGTCTAGGGCTGTAAACGAGCCGAGCCGAGCCAAATAATGAGAAGCTCGAGCTCGAGTTCGACTCACAACTCGGGGCTCGATATTCGACTCGAGCTCGATCGAGTTTCATTTTTCAAGCTCGAACTCGATTCGTGATCGAATTCGAGCTATTCGAGCTCGCTCGATTAAGCTCGATTAATATATAATAAAAAGCTCGATTTTTATACTCGATTATTCGAGCTCGAGCTCAAGCTCGAGATCTTTTACAATTAATTTTTATCAAACCTAATAAATATTATATTTTTAAGATAACAACAACAACAATAACAACAACAACAATAATAATAATAATAACTTACACAACAATCAAATTTAAGCAAATAAAAGTCTCATTAAATGATTCAAATACAACACACAAATATAAGACATAATGAAACTTAGAAATTAAAATCCTAATTGAAAGATATTAAATATCCAAGCAAATAAGTTCACAAATAAGTTACAACAAACCAACAACAATACATATGCTGCCTTCACAATATTATGTCTTCAAATAAACATTGGGCTCATATTGCTTTTCAATAAACCTATACAAAAGAATAATTACAAAACAAAGAAATTATAATTAACAATAAGAATAACGATAAAAGTACCCATGTAAGAAAAAGATTGTAATATTATTACAATGATCAATAACTTTAAATTTTTAACATTAGCATCAACATGGATTTTATCTTGTCAGTTGTCTTATAATCAGAGCAAAAAAATATAAACAGTATCTTGTCAATTACCTTAACATGAGTTTCTATCATTAGTTAACCTATGGTTCGTAAATTATAATGCAAAAAGCTCAATTTAGACTAGCTACTACCTATTTTTCTTTAGTAATGTTGTGACAAATTAAAAGTATTTAATAATAATATTTCATACCTGTATAGAAGACATTAGATATCTTCACTTTAGGGGATTTTGAGTGCAATCTCAATTGATTTCTTCTCTTTCTACATAGATAAAGTAAATGAAAATAATAGTTAAAAATTAGATTAAAGCAATGATAGTCACCTAATAACAAAATAATAAAAAAAAAACTCACTTTGTTCTTTTTCTTCACTCCATGAAGATTTCGACACCAATCTCCTCCACAAAGTAATGCTTGCACTGTGTCAGGAGATAAAGAAGCATGATAAGTATCAATAACTCTACCTCCTGCACTAAAGGTAACTTCTGAAGCCACTGTAGTGATAGGAATAGCAAGTATATCCCGAGCCATCTTGGATAAAATACGATACTTCAAAGTGCTCGCTTTCTACCATTTCAAAGCATGAAACTTAGTGGAATCTCCTTCACAGATAAAACAGCCCTCAGCTAGGTAGACATCTAAATCAGATTGTTGTGGTTGAGCAGTTTCAACTGATTTTACATAATTTGTAAATTCAAACCAACCAGAAGAAGAAGCTTATATATTCATACCACTAATACCATTATCATGCACTTGAGTTTCAGCACTATGCTCATTGCCAAATTGATACTCACGAGCATATTCATCATAAATCTCATAAAGGGCATCTCGAACTTTAGCAATATTTTCTTTTGCTTCTCTATCAGGGTACATTCGAGGAAAGCAAAACTCAATCACCCTCATTTTGCACCTTGGATCCAAGATTGCTGCTATAGACATCAACAAATTACATTATCCCCAATACTTATCAAATTTACTCTTCATCTTACGAACCATTGCTTGAACAAATTCATTTTCATCATTTATCCTTTTATCCAACAACACTTTCACACGATAAACTTCATTCAGAAACAGGTTTGAAGTTGGATAATCACTTCCAGAGATGATTTTAGTGGCTGAATTAAAAACTTCTAAAATCTCACAAACTTTCTCCACCTTTTCCCAATTTTCATGACTTGGACAACATTCATAATGAGATTCTCGCTCTTTGAGTCTCGGAAACACTTCTTTGAATTTGATTGCAATCGACAACATCTCGAATGTCGAATTCAACGTGTTTTACAATCGAGAATGAGTTTCCTATCAGGTAACTGTAACTGTTGTACTATGTCAGAAAATGAGTTAAGTCTTGCCTCATTTTGATTAATAAAATTGACACTTTCATGAACATCACCAATCACATTCTTAATCTCAGAAAGGCCATCTTGAACCATGAGATTTAAGATATGCGCACAGCACCGAACATGAAATAATTTTCCTCCACAAAGCAACATCCTATTTCTTGAAAAAGTGTCTTTAAGAATTCTAATCGCCACATCATTGCTTGAAGCATTGTCCACAGAAAGTGTAAACACCTTGTTTTCAATTCCCCATTCCTTTAGACACTTAAAAATACAATCAACAATCTCAACACCGCGACAAGGAGGAGGTATGTGAACAAAGCTAATAACACGCTTTTGCAATCTCCAATTAGAATCTACAAAGTGTGCTGTAAGAACCATGTACTCAATCTTTTGATTACTTGATTTTCACAAATCTGTTGTCAAACTAATCTTGCTGACAATCTTCAACAATGCCTTTAATTTCTTCTTTTCTGCTTCATAAACTTGCATGCAATCTTTTTTAATAGTATTATGTGATACCTTTTCCAATTCAGGCATCCCACGTTTTTGCATCATGTTAAAACCTTCCTCTTCTATAATCGAAAAAGGATGCTCGTGCATAAGTATCCAATGTGCAGCTGCTTCTCTCATCTTTACCATATCAAACTTGCCATATGTGAGAGTAGGTAGTATCTGTATATCACCACATGTGTTTACTGGCTGAAAGTTGATCATTTGTTGTTGATTCTGAAAGATTTTTCTCTTAACACAAGTTATCAAATGCCTCTTAAATTGAGTTGTACTTTTACTTGTATTTATTGCTAGCTTCTTCTTGCAATGGACACACTCTCCTTTTTTTGGAACCATCAGAAAGAGTGACTTCTTTGAATTCTAACCAAACAGCAAATGTCTTTTGCCTCTTTTTCTCACTACTTTCTTCACGCTCTTCAGGGTCAGCATTATCACATTCTCTATCATTGGCATCAATGACTGGTGTTTTATCTGTGTTACCATTAGTGGCATCTAAAGCTTCATTCATTGAATCATTACCATCATCTGACACAATTCGACTAGTAAAAGAATCTATTGTCGACTGAACTGATATAGAAGAGATATCCGGTGTGGTTGATGACATGTTTAGTTCCCTATAGCAAAAAAAAAAAAGATAAATCAAAACAATAATATAATTTTAGGATCAAACAATAATGCAAACAAGTTGTTAGAAACATGTGCAGTAAATTTTATTGCCAGAAACATGCTAAACAAGTTGCGAGAACAAATTATTGGAAGAGTATAAAATTTTATTCTTTGGGAAAATATACTAATATTGTAGGAATTTTAATAAATTTAAGATTACCTACTTCGATAATAATTTCAATTTCTAAAATCAATTTCTTAAAATGAATGTTTCTTATTAATTTTTACAATTATACATGCCTATTTAGTATTTATATAACATTAACTCAATCTCATTAGAAATAAGTGTCAGGTTATATTCTAACAAATCTAATATGCATAAAGAAGAAAAGTATTCACATTAAACAGTCCCCAATAAATTAGTGATGAACCATATGGAAGCTCAAATTATGATTATGACTAAAAACAATAGAGCCAATGACTTTTTTTTTTTTGTTAAATAATATGAACCATCCAAAAGTTTTTCTACTGATAAAGCGTATTGTGCAAGTCTTGAAGTGGTCCAAATTCAATTACTTTCTTGCTAATAATATAGAGACTTTTGGTTTACAAAATTCAGTATTTAAATGCAAATTCACAAAGAACATACTGCTTTTCACAAGTTTGCAACAAAAATAAAAGTATAATATGATAGTGTTTGACAAACAAATCAGAATTGATAATATCAATACTAACAAATAGCCATAACACCTTGCCCCCTTTCATTGTTGTTTTCAATCTGCATCCCCACAATATTCATAAAGGTATTTAATTTAGACATTCATAAAGGTATTTAATTAAGGCAGTCTTATTTAAACCACCTTTTAGCATGAATTGGAAGCCTAACATAAAAACATTTAATAAAAAAATGGCACTCAAAAAGTATGTCATGGAGAAAAGGCTATGTTGAAGGATCGGGTTCTGTTCAAGCTACTGCAAACATCGAATGGGTGGAACGAGCTTACCTTTTAGAGAGAGGAGAAAGGGCTACGTTGAGGGATCAGGTTCTGTTCAAGCTACTACAAACGTTGAATGGGTGCTACTGCAAACGTTGAATGGGTGGAACGAGCAGGGCTTCATTGAGGGATCAGGTTCTGTTGAAGCTGCTGCAAACGTCGAATGGGTTCTGTTAAAGATCAGGTTCTGTTGAAGCTACTGCAAACGTCAAATGGGTTCTGTTCAAGATCAGGATCTGTTGAAGCTGTTGTAAACGTCAAATGGGTTCTGTTCAAGATCAGGATCTGTTGAAGCTGCTGTAAACGTCGAATGGGTTCTGTTGAAGCTGCTGCTACTGCAAACTTTGAATGGGTTCTGTTGAAGCTGCTGCAAATGACGAATGAGTTCTGTTCAAGATTAGGATCTGTTGAAGCTGCTGCAAACGTCGAATGGGTTCTGTTCAAGATCAAGTTCTGTTGAAGTTGCTGCAAATGTCGAACGCTGCTGCAAACGTCGAATGGGTTCTGTTCAAGATCAGGTTCTGTTGAAGCTGCTGCAAACGTTGAACGCTGCTGCAAACTTCGAATGGGTTCTGTTCAAGATCGGGTTCTGTTCAAGCTTTTTAGATAGAGAAAAAAAGGGCTTTCGAAAGGGTGGAACAAGCTTGGAAGACAATGGAGTGGGATTCGAGAAAAAAAGGCACCGCAAGTAGGGCTGTTGGTGAGTGAGAGAGACGGGGAGAAAGACTGAAAGAGAAGAGAGAAAGAAAGAAAGAAAATAAAATTTTAGGGTTTTTTAAGCTAAGGGTAAAAAAGTAATTTTATAAATAAAATAATAAAAATAAATATATAATAGAAAAGCTCGATTAGGCTTGCAAGCTACTCGAGCCGGATATAAAAATACTCGAATTCAGCTCGATCGATAAGTCGAGCTACTCGAGCTCGAGCTCGACTCGGTAATAATCGAATTGAATTCGAGTTTTCTTCGAATCGAACCCGAGTAGCTTGCGAGTACTAATGTATCATTTACACCCCTAATCGGATCCATAATGGATTGGTGCTAAGGGTCAAAGGGTAAATTAGGAAGGAAAAATCAGATAGATGAAAGTAGGCATGCCAGTTGGCGGAAATGACTTGGCATTTGGGAGGGGAAAGCTGGTGGTCATGTTTAACTTTCTAGTGATTTTTTAAAAATCATTTTTCATCACATTTATTAATCTAATTTAAAAAACTTTGAGGCTTAAAAATTAACATGATTTTATTGGACTTAGGCTTTAAAATTGAGTTTAGGCCTATAATTGGATTTTGAGACTTTATTGGGCTCTCAAGCCCAATTGACCCAAAATTAAATTGAATTGAACTTGGACTCATGTAAAATGGTAAAAAATGATTAATTTGAAACAAAATCAAATGAGCTTGATTCAATTAAAATGTTTAAATTGGTCCAAATTAAAATGTTAAAATCAACCTTAAAAATTGAATAAACTCAAATGATTTAAATAAAATTAAGTGTCTATAAGTGGTAATGGTTTCATCAAGTAATAATTTCATAAGATATTTTCATGATTGATGAAAACTACTATGTGCACGTAAAAAGATTCAAAGATAAGTTTATGATCTTATCGTTTCATGTAAATGGCATACTATTGTCTATAAATAATAAATAGTATATCACTATAGTGAAAATTTTGTTGTCCTTCGATTTTAAAATGAACAAATAATGCAAAGTAGTTTATATATTTGAAGTAAAAATTAAAATAGGTTGCTCCAAGTTGTTAGCTTTTTCTCAATAGTCATATATTAATTAAATTTTTAATCAATTCCATATGCAAGACTGCAAGTCAATTGAATCTTCTAACGCTAAGGGAGAGGGTTTGAATCAAACATTGTGTCTTAAAGCTCCACATAAAATGGAACAAATGCGAAGAATTCCTTATTCAAATGCTATTAGAAGTCTTATATATATTATGATTTCTACATTGCCAAATATCTATTTTGCAATTATAATGGTAAGTAGGTATCAATCAAATCTAAGTCAATCCCACTGTAAAGTTGTCAAAAGGATATTAAAATATCTTAAAGGCATTATGGATTATTCATTATGATATCAAATTCATTATGCTATCAATGAAATGATTTGCATCTCATTGGCTCTTTTGGGTGCTTATTAGGGAAGAGATTTAGTTGTAAGAAAACATTCCTTTACTTACGTTTCTTACTAATTAATGGAACAACCTTATGGAGTCGAAACAAATTTTTATTAACTTGTCTACATTGGAAGCTAAATTTTTAACATTTTCGACAGTAGCACAAGAATTTTTTGGCTTAAGAGATTTTTGAGATATGGTATAGTGAGAGGCAAGGTTGTAAAAAAATAAATAAACATGCAGTACATACCATGCATAATATGATTGTAGATATGCATAATATAGTTGTAGATCTGTTCACAAAGGCCAAAACTATAGATATATATAATAACCATATTAAATCTTTAGGGTTGCATAGATTTTAATATGATTAAGAAGTTCTAGATCTGCAATTTGTAATTATTTTCCCTTGTATGTTTATTGTTGACTAACAATTATCTTCTATAATGGGCTACTAAATTTACTTCTTTGTTTCATTAAGCTTATACACATATATGTGAAGTACAGAATACAAAGGTATTTTAAATAGAAAATTGGCCTTCTCACACAATCAATTACATGTACGGTTTAGTGCCATGTAGAGATGAAATTAATTGGTTTTAAGCATTATATGCTATTGAAATAAATTGCATAGTTCAAGCTTAAAATGAAATCACTTTGATAGTGAGACGGGATGAGATCATAAAATAATGAATTTTGTGAAAGTGAATAATCCTATAATTCACTTTATTTGTCTTTAATCTTTATATAACAAGTAGAAATCCTGTTATTGTATTTTAAAAAAAGTGGAATTGTGCATGGAATCAAGTTCGATATTGAATATATCTAAATTATCAATTGTACAGTATTGAAAGGTAACATAAGAATTTATCTTTAGTTCTTAGTTGCATTAGACCATGCAGTCAATAGGATCTTAGTCTAGTTCCCTTATAACTTTTAATTTTCTTAAAATTTCAATTCGACTTTAATTATTTTGGAATGTTACTAACGATAATGAATAATTTGATCTAATAATAGGACATATGGAGAACATTTGAATTTAAAACGAAAAGATTCTAGATGAAAAGAACATTTAAAATGTCACATTTAATTGTCTTAATTGGTTGATCAATAATGTTTTATATAGTTAAACACAATTGTTAATACTTAAGTTTTTATGTAATTGATATAAAGGAGATCATGAAGAACTTAAAATGCGACTAAATGAATCTAGAATGTTGCATACTTTTTCAATTTAAATATTTGATCTGCTATATCCATAACAGCCGTATTGCAAAAAACTCTTGAGATTATAATATGTTGGTTGCATGACCCTTTTTTTTTTTTTTTTTCTTTTGTATGAATTTAGCTGAGAAAAACATAATCCATGTACCAAAAGATATAGCTAAATGCAATTAACATATATATTTGAAGTTATTCCGCACGTTCTAAAAAGACAACTCCGATGATGGGAGGTTAAGCTGTTGGTTGGAGCTGAGAAAGACTTAAATGGATTTTGACCATAAGGGAAATTGCTCTCTACCATAACACAAATTAGAAGAAAAAAAATTAAGAAAGAAAGAGAAAAAGAATAAGAATGTAAAGAACGAAAGAAAAATATGCTAATTCTAAAATACAAGAGCAATGCTCTAAAAGGCAAAATTCTGTGCAACTTGAAGATTTATACTGTGATAAACTAAACATTTTCCGCATGTGTGATCTTGTTGCAGATTGGTGAATCAAGTCAAAGATCTTAACTTCCGCAATGGTCATTTTTAACATTTCCTTCGGCACAAAAAGACAGTAGATCATCAGATGACAAAAGTTACTTTCCACTTTTTCTGGTGTACATGTATTCATGTAAAAAGCTCAGTAATATCAATAATTTGGGCAAAATTTTCTGCAATATTAGGAAGTTTTTAAGCTTGCGAGTTGCAACCATATTTTTGGGTTCTCAATTTGGTTGATTTTCATATCACAGCTTTCATGTCAATGAAACTATTTTCTGAGATTCAAGAATTCGTGGATGTTGAGTAATATTTGTAGAGAGAATCAGCTGGAACGGTAGTTGCCATGGCACTACAGCTACACACCTGGCTTTTCTGAAACCCTAGACCGTAACATAAGCACACAGCTGGAGTTGTTGGTCGAGACAATTGATAGGAGACTTGTTGCTGCCGCTGCGACTCATTTAAGTTGGTAGAAGAAACTTGAGATTGGCATGGAAGCCCAATGGAGAGTTCAAGATTGAGTTGTGCGAAAACTTCTTCAGTAGTTACTCCACTGCTGCTGTTGGAATCTTCTGCTGAGTCTGCTCCAATCTTAATATTTGCAGGCACTTGCATCAACGGCACCGCTGAGTATTTCATGTCTAATTGAAACCTATTATTGTTATTGAAGCTGCAGCTACTGCTGGTGCTGCTGTTGTTGTTACTGTTACTCGTTTTGTTTGTGCTGATAGTAACTGTGCTAGAAACTGAATTGAGCGGACGATGGGTTTGAGGATCGATTCCTCGGCTATAAAGCTTTCTTTTGATACGAGTATTCCAGTAGTTCTTGATCTCATTATCAGTTCTTCCTGGCAATCTTGCAGCAATTAAAGACCACCTGAAAGAAAAAAAGTATAAATCTAAAAGACAAACCAGCTGAGATTGTAATGTTATTTGCTAGTATCATTAAGGACGAAGCAGTTGCTAAGTTCACCAAAATCCCTTTTTTTTTTTTTTTTAAAGAAAGCTTGAGAATCAATTAACATGACAAAAGAACATACTTGTTTCCAAGTAAGCTATGAAGTTTAATAATGAGTTCATCTTCTTCCTCTGTGAAGTTTCCTCTCTTGAGATCGGGCCTTAGGTAGTTTATCCATCTAAGTCTACAACTCTTTCCACATCGAAGCAAACCTGGAAATACATATATATATATATATATATATATATCAACCATATCAAAAGGCTGTACAAATCAAATCCCAGATAATTTTCATAGCATAATAAAAGAAACTGACCAGCAGCTTTGGGGAGAGATCTCCAGCAGCCTTCACCATGAGCTTTGATGTAGTTGATGAGACGCTCATCTTCTTCTTTTGTCCATGAACCTTTGTTGGTATGCTCTTTCTCACAACAAGGAGATCTACCCATACGGGTTAGTTTCTAACTATCCGCAAAGCCGAAGCGAGAGAGATCAAAGCAGATGAGACAAAAACAAATTGGGGAACTTGTTCTAGTTGTAAATGAAAAGGGTCTTTTTGCTACAAAATCAAAATGAATAAAGAGAAACGAAGGAGCGATGGAATATAAACGAGGGGTTGTGAGGAGAGGGTGCAATTGACTCGGGGCCCTCTTTGTTTTCCTAGTTTTATATTGCACGGTGTTTGACCGAGTTGGTGAGAAAAGACGAGTGGTTACAATTAAGTTGGTGCCGGATTTGGTAGGTAGCTCTACTTTTCATATACTTACCCTTTATTTGCACCTTGCTCCTTGCTCTTTTCTTTTTCCCTCCTCTTTTTCACCTCATTTTTCGTTTCTGCACTGGATTTCTTGTATTTTTTTTTCCCATCATCTGTGGATGACAATTTTGTTGATAAGGGGCACACGATGAATTTTCCATCTAAAAAACCAACGAAACGCATTTAAAAATAACTAAAAAGCTTTTAGAATACTACGATTAGTTTGAATATCAACACTTATAATTTTTTCTCTATTTTCATATTAGGTTTTTTTTTTTTTTCTGTAAAAAATTATTCATATGATTAGTTGTTAAACAAAGAAACTTCTAGAACATATGAGATTATTTATAGGGAAAATAATTACTAACCCTATTGTGTAACAAAAAATACCCCTTCAAATTTTGAGAAATACCCTCTATACCTTGAAAAAAAAAGATGCTACGTATTTCCCAAAAAAAAAAAATAGATGTTAAGATTTTATTAATCAGAATAATTTTTGTTTAAAAATTTATTTTTTCTTTTTTCTTTCCTTCCCCTATTTTTCCTCTTTGCACAATCTTTTGTTTCAATCTTTTTACCATCCAACCTTTTTTTTTGAATTTGATAGTCATTAAAATAATTTTTTAAACTAAAGACAATTTAATATATATTAAAGTTAAAATTTAGAATTAAATTCGATTTAATATATAATTGATATTTCAAATTAGCTTGATTGAAATTTAATTTTGTCATAATTAGAGATAACTTTGAAATTATTTTTAAATCTTGAAGACTAATTTAAACTAATTAAGGTGTAGTTTGACAAACTGAATGATTAAAAAGTTGAAACATTAAGTATTTAATTTTTAGTGTTAAATTTTATAAATATTGATTTTAAATTACAAAAATTATTTGATATTTTGCTGAAAATTAAGTTCCTAATATAAATATTATTTGATAACTGTCAATGTTGAATTTTAAAAATTATTTATTTTACTTTTTAACCTTTTTCATTATATTTTGTATTATTCTAAAAAAATTGAATTCTTAATTACATATTTTGATTTGAAAACAAATATGAAATTTGTCATTAAATAAATTATTTTGAGGCATCCCGAAATTATTACCATCTTGCTCTGAAAAATTATCTGGAATAACAACTAGAAAAATGTACGTGCATTGCTGCAAGTCAACTTTTTTTTTTTTGTTTTACCATCTTTGCTCATCGTATATATTTTTTAAAATTTATATAATTAAAAAATAAAAAAAGATGAAAGGTAAAGAAACAAATGAAAATGACACGTGAATATCTTAATTGACCTTTTTTTTCATAAAATTTATCAAATAAAAGTAAATATAAAAAAATGAAAAATGAAAAAATAAAAAAAAAAAAGAAAAAAAATGAAAAAAAGTGCTCAGAGAGGATGTCATATTGCACCTCATACTGATCTTGAAATATTAATTTTTTAAATTAGGGTAAAAAATTAACTTTATTAATATTATATTTTTATATGTTTAAAATTAAATAATAATAATAAAATATATAATTTTATATATACTTTAAAATGAGTCAAAATAAAGCATCCTAAATACTCTTCTAACTTGAGTTTATTTCTCTTTAGAAACTGGACCTGTCTCAAGTTAATCATAATTTAAAAAAATCATCTCTTATTAGATTGAGATAAATTAAAACTTGTCAAATACAAATTATTTTTTGTATCTCTATTAATTAACATATTTTGTGTTAAAATTTATTTAATTAAAAAAAATAAAGAACAGGAAGAAAAAAAAGCCAAATAGGATGCAACGTTGACACTTTCATTGAGTTTTTTTTCTCAAAATTACTTTAATAAAAAAGGGGAAAAGGAAAAACAAAAAAAAATACTTTTGAAAAAGAAAAAAAAACTCATTAAGGTACTATATGGATATCCTAATTGAGTGGAGACCCACGTGGATACTTACATATATTTTTTTTCACAAAATTTATCTAAATTTTAAAAGAAGAGTTAAAAAAAAAGATAAAAAAAAGTAACATCAAATCTTCAATGAATGTAAAATAAAAATAAAAATGAGTGAATTTTATATAATGAATGGATTGATTGATGTATTACATCCTGTATAAATATAATATTTTTGTTAATTAATATATTAAATAATATTTTAATTAATATAATACATATATTTAAATAAAAAATTAAAATATAATTTATTATATATAATCAAAACAAGACGAAATGTTATAACCTCACCTTTGACTTAATTTTGATTTAAAAAAAAAATCTTTAATTTGATCTCAAATAAAAAAATGCATTATCATATCCAAGCGAATCAAAAGCCATCAAATATGGGATGTTTTGTTATATATACCCTCATTGACATTTTTAAAAAAAAAATTATTTACTAATGTTTTTTTATTGTAAATTATATTATTAAAATATAAAAAAAAACAAAAAGATATCAAAAGGGCAAAAAAAAAACGATATTGAGTGCCACATGTAAACAGCTATTGGCTTTTTTTCAATAAAATAATAAAAAATTAAAAAACTAATTTCGATATACTTTTAGTATCGGATCTCATCAAAACAAATTTAAAATCTTAAAAAAAGTTGAAAAAAAAAGGTTGATATAAAGTGAGACCAACCTTTAAAATTAATTTTTTTATAAAAATATTTATTAAATATTACAAATTTTAAAATAAACCAAAAAATAAAAAATAAAATTACGACATGCATAAATTTCCATAATATACTATTAATCGTACATGACCTAAATCTATGTTAGGGATATCCATGCATACTGAAAATGGATGTGGTATGGTCCTCATTAAAATTGGAAAACGAGCTTTCCAAAAGTTTCATTGATGAAAGGTATTTCCAATTAGCTCTGTCAATATTGATAGAAGTCATTTCTACACACAAATATTTTCTCTCTGAAAAAAGGTAGGCTTAAGATTTAAAGGTAGTGGAAATTACTGAACTCATTTCATTTCTTGTATGAAAAATAGTAGCAATTAAAAATTCTCTCAAGAGAGTAGACATTGACACCTATGTGTTTGAGTGACAGCTGTTTGAATATTGATCAAGTTAAATGGACCTAAATTATTAGTAAATTTATATAAATATTATGTATTTTTAAATGTATTATATAAATAGATACATATACTTATGATAATTAATAAAAAAAAAATCCCCATTATTTTAGTAAAAGGGTTTTTCTCTTAAACTTTCTTTTGCCTAATTCTTTGATATCCACTTATAATCTTTAAATTTGGAATGTGAAAATTTATAGACAAATTTAGTAATTGTTTCACAAACTAAAAAGTTTAAAAATTTTATTTAAATATTATTTATCTTGATAAATCATATTAATATTGTCTTAACGATTTTGGGACCGCTCAATGTAAAGAGTTTTAATAATCGAGAAAAAATGGAAGGGAATTGCCACCAATCTTTTTTAAGATGTGATTGGTCACCTAAAAATTTATTTTTTTAATAAAACTATAAAAACGAGTTTAAAGTTTATCAAAAAGGTAATTTTGGTCTACGAAAATCATGTTAGGTTCGAAAGTCGGTTACATGTGAAAAAAGATTAGCACCCCCATAACGCCCATAAACTGATATCATTTAATTATGTGTTATTTTTTGTGTTGCATAAAATAGTTATGACTTAGAATTTAACACTAATTCTCTTCATTTTAAAAAATAAATTTTTGCTAAAAGTCTTTATCTAAGAATATTTAGGAAATCTTTAAGTTAAAGAATTATCTCAAAATTCTCCAACATCTAGACAGAATTTAAAATAATCATTTTCACTTAAGATTTAACACAATATTCTTTAAAATAAAAAGTAACACTCTTTGTAGAAGATAATTGTTGGTGACTCTCCAATATCTAAGCAGAGTACCAAGAACTATTTCCTTCGAAACGTTATTTTTGTTTTAAAAATACATCCCTTTTTGTTTTGTGAAACATTTTATATGAGAAAGTAAATAATTGTATTATTAGGTAAAAAATAAAGATCAAAGATAAAGAAATACGAAATGAATGTCAACAATAATATAATGATGCATATATATGCCAATGGATGTTTTGCAAGATGAAACGCAATTTTAAGGTTAGGTTTTTAAGTATAATGAGACTACCCCGACTCTTCAACATCTAGACAAAACTTAGGTGCGACTGTTTATATTTAAGATCTCAATTTACTATTATACTTTTTATTTATTAACCCCATTATTAATGTAAATTAATGGCTCATATGAAAAACTTAATAAAATAAAGTTTCTTAAATACCCCATCATCTAGGCGACATTCGGGAACAAATCATTTCATGTGAGATTTTCACACATATCCTTAAAGTTTCGAAATAAATTTAGGGTTTTAGGGGTTTTAGAGTTTGAATGATTTTTTTGGTGATGGTTCGAAGTTGTGTACCAAATTTTTTATTTTTGGATTTGAATTTTAAGGTTTTTAGATTTTAGGGTTTGGCATTTTGGAATTTAGGGTTTCAAGTTTAGGATTTGGATGTTTAGGGTTTCGATTTTAGGACTTGGAGGGTTTAGGATTTAGTTTTAGGGTTTAGAGGGTTTAGGGATTTGTTTTATGGTTTGGAAGGTTTACAGTTTTGATTTCAGGGTTTGAAGGGTTTTGGGTTTGAAAGATTTAGGGTTTGGAGAGTTTAGGATTTTGGTTTTAAGTTTTCAGTTTTAGCGTTTAGGTTTTTTAATTGAAGAAAACACAAACATCTCTAAAAATCTCCAACATTTAGGCAGACTTTCGGAGCAAGTTTGATTTTTATGATTTTAAAAAATTAATTAAAAAAATTTCATATATTTTCTTTTTATGAAAACTTACTATTATTATTATTATTATTATTATTATTATTATATTTTTAATTTTAATTTTTTTATTTATAATTCCCCAACATCTAGGCATAATTATATTTTAAAGTTCAAGATTTTTATTCCCTCCAACATCTAGGCAGCGAATATA